GGAAGATAGTGTTCCTGTGGTGTAGGTTTTTCTGAAGCAATCAGAAAGGCATCACGCACAGACTGTCCACCTGAAGCAACGAAAATGGGGTACTGTTGGGGTCGCGTTGATTGTCCATCCATGTGGACTTGAACGTGAAGCTTGTGACAAACACCTGGCAGACTGTATATGCTTCAACTTCGTTGTTGCTTTCTCTATGACAACAATGTTCATACGTTGGCTGTACGGATTCAACCGAACTGTTGTCAGCCAACGTCCTACAATCATCGTGGTTCCGACATGTTCTACTATGATGTCCATTTCTTTGCTTTGCAACATATCCATGCGCGATGAACGGTTGGGTAGCAGATCGTTAGCAACGCTTCCCAAACTCGCCGACAACAACTAATTGTGTATCGCGCTGCCTGTACCTCTGTCGTGTGTCTCTTGCTCCCTGTGCCGGTCTCTGCGTGTGTCTGTGTCTCTATCTCTATCTCTCTCTCTCTCTCTCTCTCTCTCTCTCTCTGCCTGCTTTCGTAAGTAGTGTGCGCGTGTGCGAGCGCGCGTGCGCATGCGCGTGTGTGTGTGTGTCCCCGAGGGGAGAGACGGGTTGGGCTGTCACAATCCATGTTGGGACGAAGTCGAAAGGAGACTGATAAGACATGTTTTTTCGCAGCTTAAGCAAGCCGAGGTTATGCAGGTGCGACTGGTTGTGGATGCTGATGGGCAGTGGCTGTGAAGTTCCAGCTATCCTGTTTGACTGTAGTACTGCAAGTGAGTACAGCTGCTTCGGGGTTTGCTGCTCATAAAACATGTGCAGGAGGCTCGGGATCAAAATAGGATGTGAGCAGATTCAGGGAAGCTCGTGGTATGAGGTTTGCTTGGGGTACGCGACGATTAGCTGTAATGCTTCTCATTTCAAGGTTGAACTTCCGCAAGCTGGCACACCATGACGTTACGCCTTGACATGATGTTGAAGTGTCAGACTTGAGTGCACGGCATAGGACCTTTGTTTTGCGTGTCGGCTCTCGAGGTCGCAAGTTTCATCTCTTGGCGTTGCGACCCTAGAACGTGGAGCCCGGCCGGCAAACCGTGCAACCTGAATTCCTGTAGCTGTCAGTCTTGCGTGCCAAAGGAGCGAAATAGCCGTACTTTGACACTGGCCAACGATGCTCTTAGCATTGTCTTTTAGATTTTCGTGTATGTTTCATTACATGGTTGCCGATTTGGTTTCTGCTGCTATTCTCCTGTGACACCTGTTGTGTAAGGCATCAGAGAATTATCGCAGCTACGGAGAATCTAGAAAGATTCTTTACTTTGATACCACTGCTCACCCGCGGCAAGGGAACAAAACCGTCTGCCCCAAATGCCCTGACCATGTCCTTTTGCAGAGTTACCACAAAGACAAAACACAGAGCCTGCATCGTCCGGTCCGACAGTTGAGCCTGGCGGACACGCTGCGCAACTACCTGATGAAGAAAGCTGCGGCACACGAGGCCTTGGTTGTTAGACTTGTCCTTCGATGGGGACCCTTTTGGTTCTCATAGATGGGAAGTTTACGCGCACAAGGTGATTCATGTATACATACAATGCTACGAAGCTACACATTTGTGCAATAATGCGCAGGTCACTTGCTTACATGCATGCATTCACAGGTTTTTGCTAGTGCATCAACATCGCACACATAAACACAGGCAGACACTCGGGATAGCAGGATCTTGAGCGAGATGGACGGGCAAAGAAGGGTAGACGGAGATCCGCAGAGATGTGCAGATTGAGTGATGTAAAATCGATCAGTTGATGAATGTTTCCGTCTGATTTCCGTCTACTTCTCTAGGGAAGACAACAGCTAAGGAATGCTGGGCAGTTGTTTTCGCGAGACAGCATTCCCAAGTGCTCCTCAGGGCATAGCTCCATTTCCTATCCCGACGGATGGGAGAACAGATGAGTTGAGGTGGAGTTGATGCAGGAGCTGCACCAGCCAGACTGGTTTTTCGGATGCCTCGCCCGGATTCGCCGCGAATGTGGCAGCTCAACTGGAACGAACGTGGAACTGGATCTGGTGCCAACGCTACCATCGGACCAGGCGCGAACTTGGAAACCGGACCTGACGCGAGCGTACGTAGGTTTCAGGGTGAGGCTGTGGGTATGAGGAACAGGCCAGGTGCACAACAAGCCGCAGCACCTCAACAATACGGGGTTGGAGCCCCACCTTACCTTCGTGCAACACCACAACTGCAGCAGCCGTCAGCACAACATTTTACAGGGACTACGTCAGCATCGTGACACAGAACCTCAACGAGGGTGTCTATGCAATGTTTTGGTATCTGCGTTGCAGGCCCGGCCTGCTAGGGTCATTGAGGCACTAACAGGACCAGATGGTTTGGTTTGCAAGAGTTCCGGGAATGGCGCAGCAAGGCGCAACGGAACCCATGACCTGCAACCGCGACCTCTACCAGCACCCCCTCCGGAACACCAATCCTCCACGGGCAGCATCCGGCTTGAGGTTGCGCAAGAGGAGGTCAGAAAGGCGGTGCAGCAAGCTCTGAGACAGTCGTGTGAACGATTACGTAACGATGTGCAAACGGCGAATGCGGAGCTGCTCCTGGCGGCGAGGACCGACACAAACTCCGCGTCGGAGGGGAGTCGCTGGGCACACGCGTCCTGCAGTGGAGAGCGGAGCTGGCACAAACGTGAGGCCGGATGTGAACCAAACCGCGCTGGCCACCCTTTGGCAATTTCCTCCATTCATCTTCATAGCTGTAGTCCTCGGGGGGTGACTCCACCAAGCACCTAGAGCACCGCTTTCTTCACATGGTCGTAGAGGAAGTAGAACATTGCTTCGACCACCATAGTTGTTTACAACGCGGCGACACATCATATCAACATTCTCTGTCATCAACATGGCTGTGAAGTCCATACGCTTTCACCAGGTAAGAGGTTGCGATGGGGTAGCGGTAGGTGTGATTCACAACTGCACAGTAGCCTCCATGGGTGCACTGCCCGATCAGTGTCCTTCCACGTGGAAGGTAATCGAGCCGATCACTTGCCTCACCTCAGAAGACCCACTCCAAGAACACTACGGCGCTGTTGTCCTGGTAGGGTTCGGAGAGTTTCGGCAAGTCCAAAGATCCCTCCGGCAACTCAGGCTCGTGACCATCTCTTCGAAGTTGTAGTTGTTGAAGTTGCTGAATTCCCTGAACAAGAAAATCTAGGGGTGTTGCGAGGCTATAGTCGCTAATATCCCCACGCTCCTGCCTCTTTAGGATCATCAGTCCTTGCTCACCTGTCAGGTGCAGAACCAGTGACTTCCTCACAAGCAGTCTAACACTGGCGCAGTGTACAGAAAGGTGGCACGAGGCTCATCAGGTGTCCGTAGTCTCCCATGTTTGTCGTTGATTACTAGGCTAGGAAGGACTTTCACCATTTCAGCATTTGCACATCCCGCGAATACACGCAAATATACGCACATTCATGTTTGTAAGAATCTCATGGCATCCATGGACTGGAGGGTTGGCAGTGTGTACGTGAGAGAACTAGATCCTGTAGAGTCTATAGACGTTATAGAGTCTCGAAACTGCAAGCATTCAAATCGGCGCAGATCATCGACAACGCAAAAGCATGCAACTGCGTCTCGAGAGGCTGAACGTCGAGAACCACGCAAAGCAACTTGAAAAACTAGTTCCGTGCGCAGCAGCGAACAAGGCCCATTTGAGTCGTGCAGAGATTTGCTGAGGCCCATCCAATTTCCGCTCAACAACACCTTTCCACCCTTGAAAACTTGAGTCCTACCGAGAACACATCACGGAGGCGAGCAACGAGGGCGTCAGATGCATCAGATCGATACGGGTTTCAGATTATGGCTTGCAATCCAAACCAGTCCCAACCCCACCGCAACGTGAAGCTAGTGTTCTCGGCCGCCAGCTTCGGTTGCCATCGCTGGGGGGCTGTCCACGTGAGCCGGAAGCCTCTTGCCCTTCATGCCGTCCGATGTGATCTCCCGATCTGGTACAGGTAGTCCCGTGAAGCACGGGGCCGTTCCCCATCGTGCGCAACGTCTGCTCGAAGTCCCGTTGCCCGGCTGGCCCTGGAAAGGAAGAGGCTACTGATGACAGCCTACATGCCGAGGACTACGACGATGAAACTACGCACGTACGAGACCCTGCAGGACCAAGGTTTCAACTTTCCATCTCTTCCGCCACAAGTTAATGGGAGTCACTGAGGAACCGAGGAACCTGAAGAGGTGATGTTTGTGGTCAATGAAGTTGAGGAGGAGTAGCACGAGAAGGTCAAAAAGGTCAGCCAAGTTCAGGCAGCTACAAGATGATGTTCTTGAACGCGCTGTGGAGCGCCGAGAGGGGCTTGAGGAGTTCCTTGCTGAGCAGGAGATCTTGGCTGAGGAGCTGCAGATCGTGGTCGAGGCCATCAACGACGAGATTATGGGCATGAACGAAGTGGCGCTCGATCTCATTGAGGATGTGGAGACCCAGATCAAGGAGACCGAGGCGAGTGCCACGATCTGCATCTCGAGTTTTCAAGCTGGCCAATGTTACAGATGGCAAGTAGATCCGCGACATCGAGGCAAACATTTGGCCAGCTTAAAGAACTTGATAACACGCTGGATGTGTTCTTGGACCATGTGAAGCAGAATTTGGAGAAGCGGATAGAACCGATGTGCAAGGAGCGTGCCATTTTGGAGGAGAAAACGAAGCCATTTATTTCCTGTCTTGGCTGACGCACGGCAATTGGAGAAGAAGGACGGAAAGCTTATTTTGATCCCGGGGAACGTGTGGTCTTCGCTGTCAATCCACCTCCTCCACCTGCAGGAACTTCTGGGAAACCCGCGATTCCTGAGTTGAAAGGAAAGGGGGTAAAGCTATATGCGGCTACGTGGCGACCCAACTCTACAAGGCCAGCGAGCTCTTCGCGGCTGGTGCAAGCGTGGAAGGATTACGGCTAGCACTGGCGCTGACAGGCAGCAGCCGGTGTGGTGTGAGTGCTGCTTTCTTGATGTGGTGCGAGGGAAAACCAACGTACGTAATGATCCCGCCAAGGATGAAGCCAATTTGGTGTTTGTGGTGCGCCGTGCTGGGCTGCGGGAAAGGGCTGCCTTGTGGTCTTCAAGAAGGTCACCGTGGCATGTGATGAGGTTGGGGAGCTTTGGATGATCGTTCTCACGCCTCAGGACGGGACGAAGGCTCACCAAGCCTCGGTTGATGGCCACCCTTGACAACCTCCTCTACCTTGCCTTCACGAGGATTATCCTCAGTATTAATTTCTTGGAGGAATGGCACTATTTGGACCTGTTCCGCCTATTTGGTTATGGAGTCCACGTTCACCTTTTGCAAAAGGCCTACAACACCAATCTGGCGGGACTACATGGACTGGATCCGGACACTTCTGCTGGTCTACCTTGCTCTCGCGGGTGGATCCAGGATGAGGACCAGCAAAACGAGACCGAAAACTACAGCGAGAAAGAAGAGACCCGTGCCCAGAAGGTCACCTTGGGTTGGCTTACCGGACGAGGCCCGATATTCTCAATGTCACGAACTACATGGCGTCGATGACTTGGATGAAGCCGGGAGGTCTGCTGCGTCGGGCTGAAGGTGATCTCCTGCCTCAATGCCACTGCAGGCTTAGTTGAAGGTTAACTGTAAGCCACAGCAGAGACCACACAAGCCGCGCAGAAGAAGACCACACAAGCCACAGCAGAGACTACACAAGCCACAGCAGAGACTACGCAAGCCGCAGCAGAGACCACGCCAGCCCCAGCAGAGACCGTGCAAGCCCCACAGCATGATCTCGAGGCAGGCTTCAGGGTGTGGTTTGTGCCGCTTGGAGGGAAGAGCTTTAGCAGCAGTCTGGCAATCGGCGCCGCCGCCAGAACGGCAGACCGATGGTCGCAATGTCTGTCGGCGAAGCTGAATTGATGGAAGGGTTCAACTTTTCAACTGTGTTTTTGCTCCTGGAGTCAACACGGGCCATGTTGCGGGAAGTTCTACCGGAGTGTGAGGTGCCTACGTTGTTCACGACAATATAAGGCCCCGTGCAACATCCTGGAAGCTGGAGGACGCGACGCCTTCGCTTTCGCTAAGCCTATGTGTTGGACCTCGTGTACAGAGGCAACCTGGTTGCTCAGCAGACCTTCTTCATCTACTGGGTACTTGGGAATGGTGGGATTGGCTGGTTTGGACGGAAAAGAATCATGAGTGGCTTGAAGCTGGAATGCATGTTTCTTCTTTTGGTGACCATCCAATCCTTGTCGGCGGCTGCAGAGAAGGAGCCGCTCAGGAGCCACTCCAGGTGACCGGCGCCAGTGAATGGATGTTACTGTTACTGTTGATGCTCACGTGCATGTCTGCAGTGGCGGCATGGGAAGCTTGCAAGGCAATCTACAAGTGGGCGGCCTCAATGGTTTGGTGGAACAAAGCGCTCGCGAGAAATCCGGAGGCTCAGAGAATAGGCAGAGATTGAGAAGTGGGCGGACCTAGAAGATCACACACTCTCTCTCAAGAAACCCTGCGGGATGATCGGGAGGCCGACGACCGTCGCTCCGTCTCCTGCGGCGGCTGCGTCGGCTTCCGGGCGAGCGCGAATTCCACCTGCTCCTACGCCGAGCCGGGTTCCGGTCGGTGGTCAGTTCGAGGGAACTTTGACGGTCCAGCACTGGCACAAGAGCCTCACCCAAGATGGCATGATGACGACCGGAGTCAAGGAGGACTTGATCCGGAGACGCTTTATGAGGCTGGGACTGGGACATGATGTTCCCCGCGAGCACCTCCCCACGACCAAGCAGCTCAAATATGTTCTGCGGGTCTGGCGGCATTTGTGGTTGGCCGGGCCGGACGCATGTTCTGTGGCCTCACCTTGCTACGAGATCTAATGTGTCTGCGTGGCTAGCGGCTTGCACAGTGGAAAGATGTGTGACGGTACCTTCGTCGAGAGGATGACCCAGAGCGGCTCAAGGAGGGTGGTGAAAAGAGCGGTTTCGCGTGTCAGCCAGGCTACCGATGTTCGAAGCCTGTGATGACTTGAAAACTTGTGCGTGAGATCTTGTGTGTGAGCTAACGCCCCTATTTTTTGTACACTAGAGCAGGTAGATGAACTTTCAGCGATCTTCACAACTTGTACGTAAAGAGAAGCCATTAAGCAGTGATCGGCAAAAGCCAGCCTAACTAACAGCACAGCTGACACAGCTGATCGAAGCCGACTTGGTCTTGTGAAAACGGGATTGTCCGGAATTCGTTTGCCATGGCCCTTTAACAGCTTCCGTTCCGCTACTTTTGGTGAACCAGAACGTGCCCTACCCGGATCGTGAAGTTTCTCAAAATCCTAATCAGGAGTCTGCGTGCAGCATCGACTGCATGCAAGCAACAAGTTGTTACATGCACACATCTGAGACGTCAAAACGTCCATAAGATGCACTTGCTGCAAAGTCTCTTCCAAGACATATCAAGCGAAAACTCACCCCAGCTGGCAGCGAAACTGATTCAGGAAGGTCTTGGCGTTCGGAAGATCCAAGGCTGTCACAAGCGCAAGAAGCCAGCAGCTCACAAGCCGTGCCCTCCAAAGCCAAATCTAGCAGATCCTCCTATCCTCCAACTGGACTTCCGCATGCATGGAGTCTCAGAGCTAGCGCAGAGTGGAAGATCGATTTTTTTCAATAGGACAGTCAGATCAGAAGACCCCCCACAGGGAGCAGACTCCGACACTGATGAAGTACATCCACAATCCTTCGTGGGTAGCTTCTGCTTGGTTGACGTCGACGACTAGGTCACCAAGAGTGCACGGGTCCTTACAATAACAGAAGGTGAACACATCAGTCCTCACAAAAGCAAAGATGTAATGCACCAATACGTTGAGCCGCAGTTCACAGGGACTTGATCATGCACAGAAAGATTCTCCGACAACAGTGGGTCCAAAGAAAGGTGCACACTGCAAACTTTTGCTGACGACATGTACTGTATCAGCTCAGCTATATACATTTAAATGTACTTGGTCTATCAGACCAAAGAATGTGTGCACCTAGGAGTGCGGATGGCCATAGTCGAAGAAACTGTCATGCATTCCGCAAAAGAAAATTAGTTTCTTTTTGAAGCTCTAAATGGACTAAGCCCCCCCGCGCCTTTGCAGAGTGCTTACAGCAATGACACGTATCAGTCATGACATGGCCACTGCAATCATAGGCGTGTACTCCGTCTGTTAATGCTTACAGCAACGACACGTATCAGTCATGACATGGCCACTGCAATCATAGGTGTATACTCAGTCTCATAAGATTGGCTCAAGTGGTTCTAGCAATTTACACCTAGCTCTATCAGCGAGAAGTGCACAAGCAACTGCCGCTGCTTAGGGTTGGCAAGCCAGTAGGTCTAAGGACCATGAACGATCTTGCATCCGGGTCGAAACAACAGATCTCAGAACCGAGCATGAAGGCCAATGGTCTTCGAACACCTGTGCAGTCTTTGAGAACACATGCTTTGTCGCGATCGAAAGAGTTTCAGGCGGCCCGCGAGTCCATGTCCGAGGCAGCAGAGGCCATCGGGGGCACTGCATGTGGCAGGAAAAGGAGCATTGCCAATGCTGTGGAGTGCTACTGCCAGCAGGGGCAAGACAGCATCTATAATTTAGAAGCAGCCACAGCAACAGCCGAGTTCTTGAAAACGGGCAAAGATGGCAGCATAGCAGTGCGGACCAGTTGAGACCATGAAGCCAACGCGAGAGGGAGAGAGAGACAGGTGTGATATTCAGTATCATGCACCAAGCCGGCGTCGGCTCCACCGCCACCCGCACCACCATTGCGCAACACCGATTTCTTCCTCGTCCCCCTCTCCTGCTCCTGCTCCTGCTCCTCCCCCTCCTCCTGCTCCTCCCCCTCCTGCTCCTGCTCCTCCTCCTCCTCCCCCTCCTCCTCCTTCCCCCCCTCCGCCTCCGCGTCTTCCTCTCCTCGTACTCTCCTACTCGTCCTCGTCATCGCCGTCGTCGCTGTAGCTGCTTTTATCTTCATCAACATCACGCATCGTCGCCATCGTCATGTAGGTTTCATTTTCGTCCACCTCTTCACCTTGATCTTCATCTACAGCAGCAGCAGCAGCAGCAGCAGCAGCAGCAGCTGCTCACAATACGCCATCATCAGCACCATGCTCCGAATCCGTAAGTCTTGGACCTGAAGACATGTGACTCCGTGCGAAGGTTGAAATATCTCTGGATAATGTTCCACCGGGAAGCAGACAAACCAACAACTGTTTCTTGAAGGTTTTCTCAGGCTGATCGTGGCTTCGGTTAACGCTCTTCATCCCTCGATCTGTGTCTTTAGACGTTTTCCCTGTTGTATCACGACAACGAAACAGAGAGGCTTCAGGTTGCACGTTTCAAGCTTCTCAGCAATACAATTTTCCCAGGCTGCTCGGGAAGCCGCGGACCTCATCCGTGGTGCAAATCCGGACCCCAGCTTCGGTTGGAGGTGTAAGGTGCGAAGGTTTAGGCAGCAGGCGTTATAGTTTGTGCGTCTTGGGTGGACTACGGGATTGGAATTGCGGCATGGACGGTTCTGTCGGCCTACATCCACTACTCGATGGTTTTGGTGTTTATGGTAAACTGTAAACGATTCAAATCTCTTTCGACAATTTGCGCCACACCCCAGATTGACTTGTTGCTCCGAAATCCCGAGCCCAATCCTCGGCCTCAGAACACACCCCAGACTCGACGTGTGGGTTTGTCCGGCCCAGGATTCAACCCCGCCACCTGATGAAGACCTTGTCGTCGACGAGCCGATGTATCCGGAGGCACATCTTCGCGGGATTCCAATCTTTCGATGTTCAGGACATGTGGAACTGGGGTAGGTGCCTGCAAATTCGATTCATAATCCACAACTAAGCCAGGAGGACTACAGCTACGGCTATGACTACGCTGCTGGTGCAGCCCCGGGTGAGAGAGAGGACGAGGCAACGACCGGGGTTCTAGCACAAGGTGAAGAAGCACACGTCAACCGGTGCACTGTTTTGCAGTGGAGTCTAGTCTCATCCCGTCGAGGGTCAAGTGGTCTCGAGACCCAGTAGCCTAAGTTCAATTCGCATAGCTTGGTGAATCTGGTGTGCTCTTAGTAGTCCAACCATGTGAATGTACCGGCGCAATCCCATATCATGTCTGTCATGTCATGTCACATGAGAGACGATCAGACCTTCGCAGGCAGTGTACAGAGCTGGAAGATGTCTGTAAAGTAGGGGAGCAGGGTTTTTTTCTAGTTTGGCTTCTTACAAGATTTGCAGGCCATTCTCCGGGTGAGAAGTCAAGGAAAAGGACAGCACGGTGGCTCCAATGCTAATTTTTTGGCGCACTATCCGCGAACCAAGCACTGTGAAACTAGCTGCGCTCTGGAGGATTGCCAAGCGGAGTACCCAAGATCCTTGGCCAAAACCCTCATGAACACAACTTGCCAGATCCCTCCTGGGACGAAATTGGAGGATGCTGCGAGCTCAGGAAGCCACAATCGGTCCATAATCTCGAAGATCTAAAAGCAGACGATGAAGCAGCGCAGTTCCAGCCACGGTCTGTTTGTGCCTGACGGTTTATCAGTATCAGGGAAGACCCAGTACCGGAATCTGACTCTCCGGCAAATGAGACATCAACCACGAGGCGTTCAACAAATCTGCCTGGTTTTTGCAGGAACACTTGAACGAACTTGAACGTAGATGCTGGCAGCTTCACCTCGGCATCCTTGCACCATGTACGGCCTCTTGCATTTGTCGCCTGGACTTTGCGAGTCGATCTTTGAGATCTGTAGGGGGAGGCGGACATAGGATAGACAGCCATGCAGCTCTGTCATGGCCCCTCTCATGGTGAAGCCAACTGCTGCAGTAGAAAATGAAGAAGAGTGATACAACTAGCGACGACATAAACAGCACTGCTACCAGCTTTGATCTTACAGCTTCCGGCCTTGAATGACGTGGCCGAGCTCAACAACGAAGGAGTCGACCTCGAGAAAGAGAGGGTGGCTTGCCTGCTGCTGGTGTGCGCTCGTGTATTGATATCAGGTTTTCAAGGACCTCAAGCCTCAGTTCCCAAACCCGAAAAATGGCCCGCTGGAAAGTCTTTGCTGAACTATAAATTGACCCTGAAGCACTGAAGCCCTGACTCTGAGCTGGTCCTGGCAAGCGTTTGTGGTGACACACGTTGTTGGGTCAGTCCAAGGGCTGTAGTTCTTGAGGTAGGTCCACTGACAGCTCAGACCTTTTCATGTGGGCTTCGGATTTCATCCAGACATGTAGGGGTTTGACTTTGATCCGGACAGCTTCAGCCATGCAGAGTGATTGAATTGGTTTTGGGGGATCAGGTTGCAAGCACTCCCGCAAGATGACAAATTTTGTTGATTCAGGAACTGATGTACGACGACAACATGGAGAATCAAATGTCGGCCTCTGTCTTGGTGGGGCATGGGGCTTGAGAGTCGCGCACCTTGCTTTGAGGAAGCACGGTCCCAACTTGATCAGAACTTGCAATCTACTCCTATGGTGGTTGCTCTGTCGTCCAAGTGATGCATGATGTATGGATAGATCCCTTGTCCGAGTTTCAATTAGCTCCTCACATTCCTCAAGAACACCAGAAAGCCCAAACAAAGCTTCTCAATGCGGGTAATTATATGTGACTAGAGGACGTCTTCGCAACAGAAGAGGAAGCAGATGTTTCATCCAAGTCTCGTAGCTGGCTGAACCATCAGCCCGTCAAAGCTAACAACGAACACGAAACACCGTCAATTCACAACCTTCCAGGTCTGGTGCTTTAGGTTTTGTCTGTGAGGCCTCACAGAAGAGAAACCAGCACACGCAACCAGGCTTTCGGGGGGCTACAGCTTGAAGAACATGGATTGAGTGAAGCGATCCGTCTAGCTGCGGACTTGCATAGTCTTCTTGTAGGCAAAGCTAGGAATATGTGCTACTTCCTGCCACGCGCCCAGAAAATATCTGCAGCACCATGGCTGCTGTCGGCTCTGTCGTGGCAGGCAACTTCTTTCGTGTCGTAGACAGTCATGGGCCTTAGAGACTTCCAGTTTGATCATGTTACAGACGGCGCATGGCAAATGTCAGCTTGCTTTTTCGCATTTTATAGGCCGGCTGGATGTAAACCTTCTGGTGTTTTGGTGTCTTGGACATTAATGATATAAGGTCGTGGGCGGAACAAGAAGCAAGGCCTTAGTGAACTGGTGTTGGGGATGTCTCAGCTAGACTTTAGGAAATATTTGAAGCATGGCGCTTCAAGAAATGCCGGCAGACTGTTAGAGCGCAAAGCTGCTTGCTACACCGAGAGCAAAGCATCCTTCCGCAACAAAGTACCCCCTGCCCCAGCACCCCGTTTTCCCATATGCTTCAAGTTGCCCACATGTGCGTTGAGGTAGGAAAACTTGCGATGGAGAGCTGGATTTGCCGACTCTGAAACAAACACCATCACAGCAAGAAAAACAATAACACGATAACAAGTATTGGAAGTAGCAGCGGACTTGTAAACAGACCAAACCATTCCAAAACTAGTCCTGAATCATTGCCCCCCCTTTGCTTAAATGCTCTGAAACTGTCCGAGTCGGTAGATGTGGGTTGGGAGCTTCAATTGGAATGAAGAACATTCTGCAGATGCCGAGTGTGCTGCGGTCCCAGCAGCGGCGGCGGAGCCATGACAGGCCTGCAGACGGATCAGTTTACTGCCAAGGGTCTCGAATATTGGGGGCCTGGTGAACTTAGGTTTCACCAGTTTGGGAGTTGAAAATATGATAGGGCCCTTTGCGTTCGTATACCCCACTTTGGGCCATGTGCTCGAGGAGCTTGAATCCCGACCACAGCCGAAACATCCCAAACGTTCGGAAGCTCAACCCTGACATCCGCAACCCGGGAAGCCTTTCAGCCCTAGAGGGGGGTCTCCAACCTATGACTACAAACTTCCTGCAATTCTGGTGGAAGACGACTATAAGCTGCTCTGGGGTTAACTTGGCCCACGCTCGACACTCCAAACCCCAAACCTGTCCGAAACCTGAGCCCAAGATTCCCAGCCACGGCAGTTTAAATATCAAGCTCTTTATAAGGAACATAAAGTCCGTTTCCTGAACATCAGACGTGACCCTGAACCCTCCGTCCTTGGCAGCCTCACTGCAGGTTTCTGGCTGCAGTGATCGGCTAGACTGATGCTGTAGTGAAGACAAAGCCCTGAGACAACTGATTTGATGACGTGTTTGCCTTGCGTTGTGCAGCAGATGACAACCGAAGGGAATCAATGACATAGCACGAAGACAGCACGCTACTGGTACGAAGATACTGGTACGAAGAACCGAGAAGCATACAGGAGCTAGCTGTGGGACGTTTGGTGCCCTCCCTCCCGTTGTGGCAAGCTACAGTTAGTAGAGTCATGTGCTGCATTTGGCTAAGGAGAAATTACACAGCCCAGTGCTTCCTCACATCCCAATGAGGCTAGCCAATGTGAAATTGTAATTTGCAGGGTCAAGTTTTGGGGCAAGCTGAGGGGGAACACCCCTGCAAAAACAACTCCGCCTTTCTCCAATATGACAAGATGTTGCAAGTGCCGATTCAAAGACGTGAGACACCTCGCTTGGCTCACGCACCCCCAGGCCTGGGGATCCCGTGAGCACCTCGTTTGCCGCATGCGCATTTGCTGCGGAAAGCCGCCGCTCGGGAAGTAAAATCATTCGGATGAGCAATCTCAGCGACAGACACGCGTCATCCGCGCATTTACCGCATTCAGGCATGATGATTTATCCCCAGCACATGCGAGGGCATGTAGCATTTTGGAAAACGAGTCGAACTCCTGTTGCACCCTCACGTACGAGTAGCCGCACAACGATCTCCCCAAGAACATGAGAGAGCCTGATGCAGCAGACAATTGGGATGCTTTGGTAGTTTGCGGCCACTCGGATAATGCCCACTCGTCCAACGAAATGACCTTCAGAGCTTTGCATTGTCCTCAGCATCACCGCCTTCATTCGCATGTGTGTGGGGAGGAGCGGCTGCGCGATTTTGCACGAGAGTTCCAGAAGGACGTCGACAATTCCGAGGATGATGACGTGGACGAGCACCATCCCTGTGACTGTTTGCTCGGATGAGAGGCCTGGCTTGGCTGCTGTGGGAAACCATGTATAGCTGCCGAATTATTGGCTGAAGCCACCCGCACCTACAACGATGCGCGCCAGGACTCCTCCATTGGGAAGTCCAGCAAGGCGAAATACGAAGCTGCCAAGTGAGCAGTGTGTAACAAACACGGAGCTTGAAAAACCCAACAGCAACCCACAAAGGTAAGGTGAAGCAGACGCACCTACCCGTCCATGCGCCTGTCGCACCGCCGACGAAGGCATGACAATGTAGCCCTTTCATAGTAATGACCACCGACCTGCTGCCTAAGTACGCAAGCAGGCGTTGGTTTCCATAAGCGGAGAACCGAAGCGAAATTCGAAAAGTCAAAAAGTCGAAAAGTTTTTGACTTTTCTACTTTTCTTGCACTATTCGGACTTTTTGTGTTTTCGACTTTTCGCGTGTTCTTGCACTTTTCGGGTTTTTCGGTTTTTCTACTTTTCGGGTGTTCTTGCACTTTTCGGACTTTTCGTGGCTTTCGGCTTTTCGACTTTTCGGGTTTTCTTGGACTTTTCGCGCTTTTTGGCTTTTCCACTTTCAGGCATTCTTGCACTTCTGGGACGTTTCGTGTTTTGCGACATTTCGGGTTCCGCTGTTCGTTCAGGGTTTGGGGGCCTAAAGTTTTGAGTTGTTTGAGACCTCCTGGGGTTCGATTTGCAGATCGTTGAAGGTGATTTATAGGGCGTTAGAGGCTTTTTAGGCAGGTTTTGAAAAGAACTTGGGGTTTGAAGAGAGCTTAGTGGGTTTGTTCACATTTTTAATAAAGCATTGAAAGACATTGGTCTGTCGTGTTTCTCTAGAGCTGTAAGGTTTCCAATGAGTTTTTGTAGCTTTTCAACGGGCTTCAACGATGGGGGCCGAGCGCTTCGTAATGGTATATCGTGCCCCGAAGCTAAGGCCCCCAAAACTAGTGGTTTCCGCGAGGATATGGACATCTAGTTGATTTGATTTTTCTGTTGGTTCTACTCGGGTTTAACCCTGGTTGTCTTTGACGTGTTTGTAAATATTTCTACGGGCGTTGATGAGGTTTTGGGGTTGTGGTTACGATTTCAGGCGGGTGAGCTGATCTGGAGTTTTTCACCGCCCGAAACAGCAAAACTGCATAGGGTTCATAAGAGCTGTTTTCCAAGTTCAGTGTTCGTCTCTTCACGTTTCAGAAAAACCCTGCTGCACGGAACTTGCATCCCCAAAGTCGAGCACCTCCGAAGCTACAGCCTAATGCGCC